GTATATTGCATATGATGTGTTATTTGAGACCTTTCTCATATCCTGTTCGGATAACGCGGCACCGTAGGGTACGTACAATATATGTTGTTCAATTGATGAGACGTCGTTGAATTTTATGTTCAAATATTTTCGATTGTTAAGACCTTTGTAAATTGACAGGGCTGAGAGTAATGGTGCCGTAAAAAGATCAACATAAAATGAAACAAACATTTCAGTTGCATCTGTTCTGTCGTGCACGGACTCACCAAAACAGCTTTCATTTCTTTGTTTTTGTTCCCAAAAATAGTACAATGCAATCTGAAAAACCCCGAGAAATTCTCTTCGCCATAGAACACAAAATAAAAAATAGAACGCGGCAATTCAGCCTCCACCAGCGTCCGGAGGTGCGCTACGCAGGCTGCCACAGCCTACTGACGAAAAAACCCACAGCCCAGCGCAGTCGGGTAGCACTGCCCGACTGCGCTGGGCTGTGGCTCTCAAAACCAGGGACGCGCGCTGTAAATTGCTTTGTTCGAGACTGCTGCTAGGAAGGTCTATATAAAGGGTGCTTTGCTCAATAAAGGTTTAGCTGTGTTTGAGACGTTCTCCTTCTCTTCCTTTTTACCTCAGTCTCAAGTTTTTATACTAAAATGTAAAAAAAAAAAAGTATTTCCGACACTTTCTAAGGAACGACTATTTTGTTGAAAGCATAGATATTTAAAATTACCCCAGAGCCAAATAATCAATCTGTTCGTTTGATTGACCAGAATATACTACGCACTGTACTCCGTCGTAGCTGCTGAATGGAGGGCACGGAGCCTTGTCAAGCTGCACTTGTACAGCTTTTTCTCCGGTCTCCAATTCGCCCCTTGTATTTCGGGTGATAAATAAAGTTCGTCTTTCCCCATAAATATTTGTGAGTATTTGCCCGGTGAAGGGCTGTTCAAACAGGACACTTCAGAAATCGTGAGGCGAGACAACTCCGGCAAAAGTAGTGTAACTTGAAGGGGTTGAAGTCCGACAGTCCGTTGTCTGTTTGAACACCACCAAGCGAAGATCCCCGACCTTCCTCCTCGCTCCCTCCGCTTCTCGGTGACCACGGTGCTCGTCAGACTTGACGTCACATGCAACACACCAATCCAGTCCATCTGTCCTCCAGGGCCTTTGTATCCTTGGCCGCGTTCCAAAATGTACTCAATCTTACTCCAGGGTGAGCCTTTTCTTACTTGCGTTCGAAAACCTACCAGCGTCCAGCGCTGCTCTATCTGTGTTTTCACGTGACATGAGCCGCCAGAGTAATGCGGATATATTTGGGTAAGATTTCGAACACAGCCCTTGCCCTTCCCGTTTTTGGAATTTTAAGAGCAGCAGGGATTGTCAGATTGTCAGAGCCCGTGAGTGGCTGTCCGGACTCACAAGATAAGCACGCTCAAAACCACTGTAAAAACACAAACTTAAAAAAAGAGAGAGAAAAAAAAAGTTACCCTTTAAAAAAACAAAACAAAAAAACAACGGACGAAAGCGGCTTGTTGCACGACTCATGTCGAAGTTGCGTCGCCCCATGATTTCTGAAGTGTCGTGTTTGGAAAGGCTTTGAGGGAATATCTTTGTTGAACTTTGCAGAATGGAGCGACAACGCATTTAAGGATGCCCCCACGTCCTCTCCTCCGCAGTACACGTGGAGAGCTAATCACGGCGATCTATGGAGAGTGACGTCATCGAATGGCAGGTGAAGTCAATATACTCTGCTTCACCCTACGATGCGCTGCAAAGGATGCCACCGAAGCCAGTGCCATGTCAGTGTCAGGTGACCTTCGGTTTGGAAACAGCGATGCGCGGGTTGCGTGGCTACATTCACAACGGTGAATTGGCTGCAATGGCTAGTGGCTTCCGCGGCGATCCATCGGAAGGAGAAACTGTTGTGTATAGAGTGTGTATAGCGGAGGTACTATCGACGTCAAACTGCTCTGGGAGACTTGCAGTACCACACAATGCAATGTATTACGTTTTTTCACTCTTTGCAGCTCGATGCTGTTTAAGTAAAGAGAACAAAATTTACCGGAGAAACGATTAGAGGTCTTCTCACTGATATCTACAGGCTGGTAGAAAGTTCACCTTATCAGTGTTCCAGTGCAGTTTGTATTTGGATATAAGCTTCGCTTCACGCATAGTGTGCGATGGTGCCAAGCTATTCACAGATTGCACGGACCTTGCGCCATTAAACTGAGGGAGAGGAGGAGACGAGAGTGTGCGGCGACGTCAGAACTCAGAGCCTTGATTTGAAGGATTAGTGAGTAAACCTAAAGCTGTAGCTGTATCTGTCAGCGCACAGCATTTGCAGTGGCGAGTACCCGAAACACAATTGCTCGCTTGGAAGAAGTGTGTTTCGGCGTCTTGCCGCAGCGGGGCGACCGTCACGTGGCCCTACTTTCATGCGTTGTCTGCCGCTCCACCTTTTACATTTCGGCGGCCGGTTCTCGTGGCGATCTGCCAGGCTTTGTCAGTATAGAGGAGGCTATGGCACTACCCACAAATCATTCGAACCACGGCTCGGCGTTCTGACGTCTCCACGCGCTCTCCTCTTTCCTTCTTCTCCGTTTCTCGGTGCATGGAACAACTACACGAGGTTGGGTCTGCGACGGGCGGGTAATTATTATTTTGAGAAATAGGAGTGCCTAAAAGAGCCTTAGCTCATACTTCAACGTCAGGAATGGTAAGCAAGCACCTTCATTTTGAAGCCGCATGCATTCGTAAGCCAAGGCGCGTGATTATCACACTCCATTGGCCATTACCCTGAAAACTTCTCGAATATAGGTACTGCAGCGCTGCCGCACTGACAACCCCGATCGCTGATATTGATCCACTCAGTCAAGTCAAATATTAGGTTGAAAGAAACTTGCAAAAGGGACAGGCGGCTTTTTGTCACTCAGACTGAGAGACCTGTGCTCGACCTTCTCACACTCTCTGGTCCCATTTATATAGACCAGCAGGCTGTTCACAAACAAGCTGGCGTTGCTATGTATGGGCACTGGACGTGCACAGAAACCAGATTCACAGGAGGGACAGCAGCGCCAAAGCAGTTGTGTTACGGCAAAGCTGCTCGTGGGCAAAGCTGCTGGCTCGAGCTCCTGACTTTACTCGGGGCATAGCCTCCGCTATACTCACAAAACCTGACAGTTGGACGACGGAGCAAGAGTGCCCGGTCGCAGAATCGGAGCGCGAGGATCTGGTAGCACAAAGTATGAACGAGCCATTCTGGAAGAACCTGGACGTTAGCGCACAGCTTTTGCAGCGGCGAGGGCACGAAACACATTTGTGAGCTCGGGAGAAAGGTGTTTAGGTGTCTCGACGCAGCGGGGCGCCAGTCACGTGGCTCTCTTTCCCCCCCCCCCCCCCCCATCCGTTGTCTACCTCTCCCACTGATCTCTATTGTAGTAGGCTGGATCGCGGCTCGCGAGCCCACCGGTGGCACCACGGCGGCCATTACGGGACACGAGGCAATACAGACAAGTCTATGGGGGAAACACACAAATGTAGGAATATTGACGCTTGTATGCTGTGCTTGAAGGCGAGTATATAACGATGTAGATGCGATCATTATATCGGGTGTTTGGAGGTCGAATCGGTATTTGTCAAGCGTTCGAATGCCAATTAAAAAATCAAACGTGCCGGAGCATTTGGAAAACTTGCTCTCGTAGTGAAGTAAACAAAGGAACTTGCGGTCAATAAGACCGTCCTCGGGGAAGCCCAGAAGTTGATGAATATCGAAAAAGTTCCATGTTGACAGCGGCTTCCCGGGGGTGAGTTAATTCCGCGTAGCAAGAGCCTCGAGCTTGTCGTCTGCTAAACCGAAGTTGTCTAAACTGCCACCGACACCGCTGTAACTCTAGGTAACTCTCGTCTAATTGAGCTGCACTACATTTTTCGCCCAGCGAAGTCACTCTCGACCACAAAACACTTATTTATAAGAACTCTGAGTGCCGTCAGTTTTAATGTTTGTAGACGTGCTATTTGACATTCTTACCAAAAAGCAGTCTAAAAGTGTCAGTGCCGACAACAGCTTAGAAACGGGGGAAACGGCACTTTTTCTCCCTTTTTTCATAGAGTCCCATGCATTGGCTGTTGTCAATCAATGACCACCGGTGGCGAAACTGGGCCCCAGCTGCGGAGGCCGCGGTCCGCGATCCAGCCTACTACAATAGAGATAAGTGTCCACTCCACCTTTTCCATTTCGGCGGCCTCTTCTCGTGGCGATCTGCCAGGCTTTGTTAAGCGAGTGTCGCTCTCGTCGCAGCGTCCAAACTCCTGGCTGCCGAAGCTTCTGTGGACTGTCAACCTGCAGCAGAACAGACGTCTGCCAGAGCCAGTACGGTTACTGCGGCTCCTCCAAGATCGCGGCCTGGCAACATCATGCCACTTTCATGACGATATTAGGCGGAAATCGAGGAACCACTTCTTTTTGAACGCGGTCAACGTAAACGCCGGCAACACGGTAAACGCGTTGCCGGCACCGTAGATTTAGTGTAATGTTGTCGTACGGAGCGGCATTGCTATCGCGAGCTCACGCTGTGAATCAGAAGCATATTGTATGAAACTGAGAAAGACTCCCCGTTTCCGCTAAAAGCACCTTCGAGATACTGGATTCGGCATACACCTTTCCAATAGAGACTATTAGTAGACTGTACACTATAGAGCTTCGTGTTGCTAGCGGGAGCTCATTCACAAACCCACGGTCCGGAGTGCGATCTTTCCGACCCAGCACACGCATGTGCGTCGCTCCGGAAAACGAGGGAGGCACGAGCGATGGGCACGAGCGTTGAAAATGACACCGGCGAAGCAAGCCTCCGAGGGTGCAGGTATATCGTGCTCGGCCTTCCGCGCGTCTGTGTTCTGCGGGGCAGAGAACGGTGCTGATCATTTCTTCTTTCTCGTAGCGAACGGTTCTGCCCGATCGTCGTCGGCGGCGTGACCCTGCGGCGCCCAGCGCTCTTGGGCGTTGTTCCCGAACCGTGCTCGTCCAACTCGTCCCGCCGGAGTCGCGGCGTGCGCTTCGCTCGCCCGCCCCGGGCGTCAGTCGGTTCCGAGTGGGCCGCCCGGGAAGGTTGCTCCGTCCGCTCCGCAGTGCGCTCACGCCCCGAAGGATACGCGCTCCCTTGGGATGATGCAGACACGCGCCTCGTGCTCCTCCGCTCGTAGGGCTCCTCTGGCCGAGAGCTTCGGATTGCGGTGAGTCCCGTGCGCTATCCCCGGGTGTGCACTGCCTGGCTATAGAAGCAGCTGCAGGTCGCTCGCCGCGGACGCAGTTTCGAATATTCTCGGCGTAATTAACGTGACTTATGATTGCCAGAATGATCAGAAAGCTATACGCGGTGTTAACTGTCGTTGTCAGCGAGACGTAATTTCCGCAGCGCTGTCGAAGATTCTTACGGGACAGGGGTGGATTATTGGGTCAGGCTTGGGATAATTGGGGGGGGGGGGGGGGGTTCTGCAGAGAGAACTGGGCGAAGCACTGCCCAGTTTTATATTGTTAAGCGAATAATTTGGATTTCACTAAAAAACTAAGCATTTTTTCCTTAATAAAACGCTGGAGTATGTATAGTTTTCTTCATAAGGTCGCCACTGGCAAGCATTAAAGGGGGGGGGGGGGGCGCAGGTCGCACCCCCCCCCCCTTTTATGTTGGCCCCTATACCGGGTGCGCACGCGAATAAAACGCAAGCGAACTGACGTGCTCCCGCAGAAATCCTAGGCTGCAGCATAGTCTTGACAAGTAGCGCAAAAGAGTTGCGGACATTTCTAGAGGAATATTTTCCTTTAGGTTTTGACGCCTCAAACTCAAATGATACACAAACGTTTTTTTTTTATTGAAAAAATACTGCGAGAGTGATTCTACAACAACTGCTCGATTGTGCCGCTACAGTGAGTTTCGTAGATCGTTCCTCAAGAAGCAGACAGCAGGCACCTGCATCTGCTTCCCAACTGGTGACCAGCGCGACCGAAAACGCCCATGTGGTCGGTCTTCCAGGATTGGTCAAATACGAAATAGGACGTTATAATAGGACAATTTTTCTTTCGTCGACGGAAATAAGTCGTCTGAATATTAGCTTTGATGGTGTTAATTTAAGAGCGAGATGACTTGCAGCTGCCACCGTCCTCTTTGTACAGCGGATCCCTCTAAAAAGTTTAGATTTTTTTTTATGATGTAAACGACGCATTGCCAAACGCTCAGCCTCTGCTCTAATGCAGCTGTCCCAACCAGATGCCGAAGTTTTAGAACTAACCGTTATATTATTAAAAAGTTATCCGTAATTTTGTAAAAATTTTATTGGCCAAATGAGACTTGTTTTTGGTATCTGGCGCTATTCAGCTTCATGTATTCATGCGCTTGGTCGGCCGCCATCTTTGTATTTAAAATCTAAAAACTAAGGTAATAATGCAAAACGTATCTTCGGGTAAGCCGCATAATGAATTGTGTGCCCATCTATTGCAACACAAGCCCTCCACTCTCAAATAACCGGGTAGTGGAGTTGCTTAAAAAAAGTCTCGCGTAGCGGGACTCCGCTACGCGGGAAGTATCTTCGCTTCAGCGACACAAATAAAAACTTAAAAAAAAAATCAAATATTAGACAGCACAAAATAACCAGCGGAACCCCACTCTTTGGCTACATGCTCTAGGTTTTTTTCAGTATACAGTTCACCACTGATAACGTAGTAGCTAAATGGTTCCTGGAACATTCCCCTGACTACTCCTCTCCAGTTTCATCTCTTCATTGCGTATGCCTTCTGATGTTGAGGTCTTACGTTCAAAGATGGTCGGCAGAGCGTCGAATGCAGACGAGCCTTTTTTTAGACCCAAACTCACACGCCTGATGCGCCGCCCGGAGCACGCTTCGAGCAAAAAACAGTATGCTTGTGGGGCCCAAACTTCTCTGTTTGTATAAAGTGGGAATCTCCCTTTTGGACATCTCGGTGTCGGCGTAGAAGGGCGGCAAGCGAAAAGAGCAACGACGCCAAACTCGGTTTGCGCAGCCGCAATTCACGTGGGAGCACGAGTCAGCCGCTTCAGTGTCACGATTCATTCCTCAACTTCACGAACAAACAAGAAAGCAATAAAGATGTCGGGCGATTGAATTGTTACTACGACTGGTCAGCGGATAAAAGCGAGTGTACGCAGCGGCAGAAGGACGACAGATCTGAACGTCAGCAACTATACAAGTGAAGCGCGGAAAGTCCCGACGGGTCCCCCAGCCGGTCCTTTCGTAGCCTTGAATGACGGGCCCCGGTTCCTCCTCGGTCGCCTTTCTTGCTATTTCGGAGGGACATGGTTTTAGCGCAACTTTGAAGGCGTTTTTGTTTGTTACCCGCTCATACAATCATCAGACGTAGTGGCTGGGGCCTATAATTACCAAGGTGCGAGTGTTTTGTTTCTCGCATTTAAAACCTCTTTTCTTTAAGGATCAGTTGATACTCGGGCTTCGCCGCGGCCTGCCTTTTGTTTAGCTGTCACTGACTCTAAGTTCCTTCGCAAGTAGTGAGCACTTAAAAAAAATTCAAGTCCAAGAAGGTAGAAGAGGTTCTCCTACCAGATTCGATCTCATTTTTGGTGTCCCAAAGAAGCGACGGCTTCCAGCCAGTGTTGTACACGTTACAATTCCTATGTATATAATTGGATTAGTCGATTACTTTAGAACAAGGTTGTGCGGTCTTTTTCTGCCGCGGGCCAAATTGTCGCAAAGCGGAAACACAGCTGGCCTGATGAAAACCCAGAGGGGCGGGGGGGGGGGGGGGGGGAGTCGATCAGCTCACGAAAATTACAGATAAAACGGAAAGGGAACTGTTATGCTCAGCTCTCTTTCTCGTGGCTATTGGAGTTGCGGGGCGTGCTTCCATCATTCTCGCAGAACCACACAGTTCCAATTCCAAAGTCCACTGACCGTGACAAACTGAAAACCATTGAGTGTTACCGTCCAATTTCTCTTTGTAATGTGGCTATAATATGTTTGCTATCTGACCATTCACTACCTCAGAACCCTCACAGCGAGCCCCCGAGTGCGACAAAAACTTGAAATTGTCAATGGTATGAACCGTGATTTCGAACGAAAAGTACAACGACCTTCATTATTGATTTCCAATGCTAAATACAATGACCTTCATTATTGATTTCAAATGCATCACTGTGGTGTAATACAATTTTCCCATTAAGAATAAACTGATCTCGTGATAGGACTCTTCAGGGCCAGTACGCACAATTACACCAGAGTTGCAACCGACAATTATTGCGGCATTAGTCATGAAATATGTGTGTGTGTGTGAGGGGGGGGGGAGGGGAGTTTGTCTAGTAGCCTGCCGGGAGCCGCATAATATTCCCTCGCGGGGAAAAGTAACTGACTGCTACTTTAAAACGTAACGATTAATTTTGAGATTATTTTAGAACTTAAAAACCGCATATCTTCCTGCCGGTTTAAAAACGAGGCTTTCGTGCGTGCTGTTGACCCGTTAGGCAAAAATTACCGGATTGTAAACTACTCACCTTTTATATCGACCAATTTTGGTAGATCGTCTCCCTGTCAAAGACCTTGTTCAATAATTCCTTGGTAGGAAGGTTGTGGAAAGAAAAGGCGCCATTAGGGAAAGGTGGAAAGGTATTAAGGGATGCACATAATTTTGTTGCTTTGAAAAGCAGTCAAATTACTCTCGTGATTACTACCTAATAAAGGGAATTAAATTATTACAAAATTACACCAAAAAGTAATCAAATACAAGTAATGATTACTTGTCATGCATAGTTTGCTTTCAGCGAAGGGTTGACTGATCGAGTTTAATGGGAAGGTCCGCTCAAGTTCTTCTTTCTGCTTACTTCGTGTTTTACTTTGCCGGACTAGGTCTTTCATTATCGGATGATTCCTTGGTCATTGATGCATATTTTGACGCGCAATACACCATTCAAGTCTACGCAGTTTAGTTCCTTCTACATGAGCCAGGACAATCAGCAATAATGTACCTTCGTACAAAGGCACGTCAAAAGGTTCATGTGCTCGAAATTTGCTATGCCCGGCTCGCAAATGGACATGTCCTCGTCCTAGATAGTCTGGCTATATGTCACTCCTACCATTTTTTTAAACAAAAACAATATTAAACACGAGAAAAAAAAGCGTTCACGTTCCGATGAAGGGAGCTACTAATACTTGTATGTCACGTTCCTTTACTGCTGAAAGCGTTTATTATTCTTGTTATTTGTGCCCAGACGGTAGAATATGAAGCCGTGACACGCTGTGTATACGTGATCGCGGCCCGGAGGGGCCCTGTAGGAGCTGGCTTCAGTCTGGGGGACTGCGTCAGTTACTATGTACGGTCACACGTGACTCGACTATGCCACCGAACACCGAGTTAGTCTGGGTCACTTGATCAATATATGGGCATAGATTTAGACGTCTTTTGATTTGATGCCTTGGTTTTGGGGGACAGTATGCTTTATTGGAAATGATACGCCACGTCACGCTCACCTCATGAGAAAAAGCAATTATTCAGCATAGTTCATGCTTCGAACGAAGTGTCTGAGATTTGGTTGTCAGAAAACAAAGATCTCTTTTTCGGTTAAAATGTGTTCGTTACAACTGATCTTAAATGCACCACTTATAAGAAGAAAAACAAAAGAACTAGTAACCTTCCGCGATGAGCCCAACTTTTTATACTTCTGTCGTCGAAGACCAGACATTTTTGTTCATAAAGCTTATGAAAAAGTAAGTTAATAGGACAACGGTTCTAGGTTTTTATTCTTTTCTGGACAGCAAATACAGCACAAGTCATGAATTTTGTATGCCATGCCAGTGTCATAAGTGAATACCTTTGTTTTCCGTTTCTCCTATCAGATGGCGCCACTGACGACAACTTGCCGTAGAGAGCCCATGTTTAAGAGAGACAGCAACCCGAACCGTGGAGAGCTTTGGCCATTTAATGGCGGAGGCCTCTTGCGCAGATTAGTTGCAAGTGGGCGTGTGTTAAGTCGTCGTGTGGCGAGGAGGAAACTGGGCAGAGGAGCGGAGAGACGCTTGCAGATGGTCGCCTCGTTTGCAACCTCCTCGCATATTGTATTCTAAACGGAACCCATAAACCAGATGACCCCGATCGAGCAGTTTTAAACACTGCATTATAAGCGCAGCACCAAGAAGTAATTATGGGCAGTTGAGTAGAAGCAGACGTAAGCACAGAAGCAGACGACGCTTTCTTC